CCAAGACTTTCAGAGCAAGAAGCACTAATGTGTCTCTTATTTTTCTCATGCTTTACCTTGTTTGAATTGTCACAACAAAAATTTTAAGACAATTTCAATTTCAATTCGCTTCTTTTTCCCCCTTGAACTTTCACTATGGTTTCATTTGGCCTCCAATTAAAATAGTCAAAAAAAAATTTTTTATAATTTTTTTGTTTTAATAATCTTTTTTTAATTTATGTCAATTTTTCCCCAGTTAGTGTAGTATAAAGGAATTAAAAAAAAATTCATTAAAAATAAGAAAAGTTAAAAAATAAAAAAAAATAAAAAATCAACTGTTTCTTCCTTCCTTTGTTAATAGTGAAAGTTTTACACCCTTTTTTTAAAACAAATTGGTGACTTCCGCTCGAGCGGCCAACCTCCCGCTCGAGCGCAGAATGCACTCGCCCAGCACTTTTGCAGAACCAGGACTCCGCTCGAGCTCCCAACCCTACGCTCGAGCTCACAACACTGCACAACAAGATACTGGATGGACGTAATCTACGCTCGAGCGCCAACACCTCCGCTCGAGCGTACAGGCCAAAAATCTGGGCAACTAGTTTTGGTTTCTAAACTCAACCAACCTGTAACAAACCCGCTCAACACATCCTATAACTCAAATACAACGTAAGAAATGATGTAAACAAGATAATGAACAACTACCAACATCCACGGGCACATGTCCGGATCACTATACAACAAGGGTAAATCCGGGATCGCTATAGTGTGAGTGTTGTGGGTGTGTGTGTGTGTGTCAGAGAGAGGGATAGAGAGAGTGTTTGTGAGTGTCTGTGACAAACAAGAATGAGTGCTGATTTTGAATTCTTTGTTGAATTTTTACATTTTGCTTAGAAGTGATTATTATCCACGGGTCAACAGTAAAACCGTGGTTTGCAACCACGTTTTCTGAAGATAGAAAGAATTACTTAACCACAGCATGGTTATGTATAAATCAAATTTTCTTAATCAGATTTACTTTAAAAAAATAATTACTTCAAAATTTTTGTATAAATAAAATTTCCTTAAAAGTGTGATTTGTAACCTAGACAGATATATCAATAATTTTGAATATGAAGACATTACGAAGATTCTTCTTTTATTTTTATGTTCACATAATTTTATACTATAATTTGTATGAAGTATTGTATTTATTCAGTGCGATTGGACAAAACTGGACAAGTCATACAAAAATCTTAAATCATAGTGTAACTTTTTCTATGAAATTATTATTTTTTTCATTGAGTTCAAATAACTCGATTGATTTTGTATAACTTGTACTTAATTTTAATTTCAAACATTGTTCACGTCATTTTTTATAACTGGTGGTCAAATTAGTGAGATTTGTGGACAATTAAAGAGAAGTTACTTTTATTGACATTATTCCCTCTGCCAATAGGGACCTTAATGACAACGTTATTTGATAGGTTATTTCCTATGACATTATTCCCTAACTTAGGGAAATAACCTCATCCGAAATAACGTAGGAAATAACTTAGGGAAATAACATAACAAAAAAATTATCGACCTGAAGCGAGTCAAACTTGAGTTTCATTAATATTAAGGAGCTCTCATTATGTGTTAGAAATTAGGTATGCTCCTTTCAGATCTCAAGTTGAACTCTCTGTATGTTTCATTAATTGAGATTTGTCGGATCTACGTGGAATGGACGTTTGGTGTGGATTGTAAGATTAGTCCATAAATACGTAAACTGATTCAGACATCCGACTATCATAAAAAGTTATAACTTAATTGAATAAACATAATGCAGGCGCATAGAGAATAAGTCAATTGGATAATTCAAGTGGGTAAAAATTATCGAGAATGACTCATTTTATAAATCAAATATTTTAATTTTTTCAAACATAATTCCTAAACAAATTTATTTATTTATTTTTTTTATATCAAATGTTTTCATAATAGCATTTTCCATGACGACTTGGAAGGCCTCTTTTCGCAAAGAGGTAAAAAGTAATGTTTTGACTTCTAATTTTTTGTGGATCAAATTATTCAACCTCTAATGTTTATATCAATTTTTTGTAGATCACTTCTAAAAAGTCATTTATTTATATCAAATTTATAAAAGGGAATGTCATGAATTTTAAGGAGGAAAAACTCGAAAATGAAATTCAACCGTAAATGGGGCAAGAAATTCAAGTAAACTATACTTTTTATATTTAACCACGATTACATTTGAATTTAGGGCATAAATTTAGTCAAACCAATTTTTCTTATCGTAGGGGCATGTGGCATCAATGACATATTTTAAGGTTTTCTTTTATTTTTTATTTTTGGGTCAACATTCTAAGTAGTTAGATTTTTAATTTGTTAATAAAATTTTAGTGTACTACTTAAAGGGTCACCCATAGAAAATATTAAGCAGGCCTACACCGACATAAAATTCAATTATCTGACTTTTCTATTTTGCCATATCCCTATCTCCAAAATATATATATATATATATATTGGAGATACGGATATGGCAAAATAGAAAAGTCAGATAATTGAAGTGTAGGCCTGCTTAATATTTCTATGGGTGACCCTTTAAGTAGTACACTAAAATTTTATTAACAAATTAAAAATCTAACTACTTAGAATGTTGACCCAAAAAACAAAAAAAAAAGAAAACTT